TAGGACTGCCTCAACGAAAGAACGTGACAAAACCAGCGAAACTTGATGACAGAAACTGATTTGGGAATTTTCAGACGCCTAAAACGTTATCCATGTGTCCAGGCACTTTTTTTGAAAACGCTAGGCGGAAATGGTCGTTCCGAAATCATCGAGCAATGTGCTATGTTGATACCTGCCCTAGACTTCGACGGCACATCGGGGTGTGTTTTTACTTGACAAAAGGACAATTAACCCCCTAGAGTTCTACTAATCAGATCTTTCCGCGTTTGGAAATTACTTTTTGTCTTAAGCTAACCCTGGAAATCAGATTGCAACCACGATTGTGAAATGCCTTTTCGACTCGAAAAGATGACTTAAGTGGATTTGCAATTTAAATCGCCGTGAAGCATTATCCCATGATGATTTGGTTACTTTAGACTGCGGACTTTTTAATGAAATTTTTTCAGCCTATAATGAAAAATGCCTTCTTTAAACATGACTACTTATGGAGAAATAATCTTCCTCATTCTTTTTAAATGTATTTATAAATTGAAACACATTTTGTGGAAAACATACACAAAAATATTCATTCTTCTACTCACTCGATAGAAAAAACACTTCTTCAAAATTTATACTAGAAGAAAGGGTATCATTCGGTTTTAAACTTTTTCGATTCCTGAATAACTATGAACCGGACCTGACTTTGTCTCTGCATTTAAGGTTTCCATGCAGGAAGATAATATAGTTCTCTACTGTCTTTAAAGTAGCTTATTAATGGTTCATGAAATTTAGCAGTGGATTTGAGCCATAATGTAAACTGTGCAAGCAACAGTGGCAAATGCAGAGACATGAAGTTTTATGAAAACATATTTCACGGTCTAAAAATCTCATAGTAAGAAACTTATTTAACACCAAAATATACCCTTCTTCAAGCAAAATATTTTGCGAAGACGTAAGTTTTTATCAAATGACTAAAAGAATGAACATTTCTGTGCAAGATTTCTCGGAAATATGTTTGAATTGCTAAGGGAAACAAAAATCAATTGTCAGTTATAATTCTAGCTCGCTAAGCACTGAGCCACGGGATAGCTGTCCAATCGGTTGAGAGGGGGTAGACACAGTAGGTGGACTAATTCATGAAATGTCAACCAAAACTCCGAATGCTTTTTCGTTTCGAAAATACTAAATAAGTAGGGTTGTAAAAGTACCCGGCCTGCAAAACAATTCAATAATATTTCGGTTACACCAAAATGCCGGCTTTCTAACGAACCTCTTTTTGGTAGCATGCAAAAGTTATACTTTACAAACAAATGAATACTTAAATAGCATGCTTCTTTTCCCTGATGTTCAATGTCCTTAAAAATGCAATTATATTTCATGGAAAACATACTTTACAATATTCATTTATGCATAACAATATCAATTAATAACAATATCCAATATATGCATGCAATATTCATTTATTTATTCTGTAGAAGATTATGTCTTCTTCCAATTTTATGTTCGAAAGATGGATATAATTCGGATTTCAAAAACCTTTCCAATTTCCCCCTTGCAGTCAGGGCTTATAAACTACAAGTCGAATATTTTTCGCGTACGGAAATCCACACATTTCTCTACTGTAATAAAGGAGAACCATATAGGGTTCCTAAAATTCTGCATTGGAATGTATCCATATTAGCAACTATAAAAGCCACATTGATACTTGCTGAGACATGACGATTTATGAGCGGTCATTTCACGGCTTTTAATAGCTGCACAATTAGAAACGTTTTTTTCAACTTGAAACAGAACGCCATTTCCTACCGAATGAGAAGCAGAACGAATAGTCTTATGCATGTTTTCCATGAAATATAATTCAACTTTTAGGGGCATCGCAAATAAACGATAAAAAATGCATGCTACTTAAGTAGTCATTTTTAACATGCTATAGTTTTTATATGCAGGCAGCAGGAAGTTTACTCGAAAGCTGGCATACTAAGGTAGCTGAATTATTATATAATTATGCTGCACGTCGATTCGTTTTACAACCCTGCTCAGTTAATCATTTCGAAACGAAAACGCATTTCGGAAGTTCGGTTGACGGTTCATGAGTTAACCCACCTACTCTACAGCGGTAGGAGGGGGCTCACCGACCGTGCATGCTATTCTGCCCATACTACGCGCCGCTGTGCGGCTGCCGGTGGGGGTGGTCGAGAGAGAGCCCCAAGGCACGACGGGGCAAGTGAATTCAATATCGCGATCGGTGAGCGACCGCCTTGCAAAGTGGTATGTTTGCGATTACTTATACCAAACCTATTTATTTGTCACCGACAGGCCTTATTAAAACTTTTATTCCCATAAAGAAATCAAGTAGAATCTTGTTTACCCTATTCAGACGCATCACACTTAATGCGGAAGTCAGTCGCCACACTTGAAATTACATTAATTTTTAAAGGGCATTTGGACGTAAACTGCCCTAAACGACTGTCGTCAAATATTATTCTATTAGCTTTGGCCGGAAAAAGACGACCTATGCAAACATTTATACCATGTGGTCAACCTCAGCTTGCTCTGGTAGATCTGAGTCCCCTTTTTATTTACAAAATCTCTTGGGGTGGTAACTTCTCCTCTTTCTTTCCAATGTTGCGTTTTGAACTTTCCATTTTATTCATCAGTCTACGTGCAGTAGACGATGACCTTGCTGTTTTACATTGATTTTCTCTAAGGAATTTCAAACCTCTGTACCTTTATCACTTGTTGTCTGTGTTATGCAAGAGCAGGCTGCAATTGATAAGGCGTATTAGACCGTCATTCCGGATGTGCACGTATCGGTTTGTAGAAAGGAAGCGAGAGAAGTTTGTTAAGTTATTCTTTTACTTATTCGGTAGAAAATCACGTCTTCTTCCAATTTCATACTTAAACGAATAGTTTACTTCGGTTTAAAAAAGTTTCTAATTGTGAGATTTTTTAATACCGTTAAATGGCCGTTCATGAAACGTCATGTATTTGCATTTACGAATGTGGTCTGTAAATTTAAAAATATTGGTCAAATCCACTGCTTAATTTTATGAGCCTCATATGGTGTCCTCTTAACACCGTAGACAAACGCATGGTTTTCCGTACACGGAAAATATACAGCTTGTAGTTTTGAAACCCTGAATGCAAAAGTAACATCAGGTCGGGTTCAAAATTATTCGGGAATTAGAAAAGTTTTTAAAACCGAATTTTACTCTTCTTTTGAGTATGACATTCGAAGAAGACGTGATTGTCTACCGAATAAGTATAACAATGAATATTTTATGCATGTTTTCAATGACATTATATTGAATTTTCAAAGGCACCGAAAATCAATGAGACAATTGCATACTAATTATCTAGTCATTTTTTGCAGACTATAACTCTTGCATGGAGCCGAAAATAAGTTCTTTCGAAAGCCGACCCTCTGAGGTAAATGTATCATTAAATATTTATGCTGCAACATGATTAGTTTTGCAACATTACTTAATTTATCTTTTTGAAATAAGAACGCATTTCGAAATTTTGGTTGACATTTCATGAGTTAGCAAATCTAATGTACATGCGGGCGTTCGCGTTGCCAACTTCTGTCGCTTCCGTTCTTCCAAACGATATGTGCACATCCGGACTGACGGAAAAATACTCGCATTGTTCTTTATTCTCCTCTCCAAAATCACTGCGAGCACTTCCCGAAATAGAAGGCGGGCTTGTATAGCCAGGCGCCTCCATGAAATTATTCTGTCGTCTATCCCGTTCACCTAACGATTAATCTGAGAGCTTGGACAGCGGCTGCCCCCTCTTACTCAAACCGTCTTCCGCCCGCCTGGCAGGCTTGTCAGTTATCGCTTGCGCACCGTATGACTCAGTATTCGGTTGCCCGACACTGACGCCGATCGATATTTTCATCTTCGTTGATTGGCCGTAGCCACACAAGACTCAGGTGCAAACACTCATACACACACGCACACTTCGCGCTGAGCCTAACAAGCTAAGAGCGCTGGCACACGGCCAGTGAGAATTCTTGCTATCACTGCCTACTCAGCCGATTAGACGCTCCCCAGTCTTAGAAAAGTTTGTACACTAAGGCCAAACTTCCCGACAACTGGTTTTGTAAATGCTCGATTTTCGAACAGTGCACCTCGACTTGACTATCAGATTATTTCTCTCGGTGATCCATCCTTCCTCATCAAGTTCACCAAGTACTCTGTTACGAACGTGGTGAGAGCATGTTCACCGATGCAGTTCGTTACACGAACAGCCAATCCAACGGTCATAGGGATTCCTTCATATAACTTGCGCACATTAAACCGCATTTTACTTTGAATGGAGAAAAGCCCCTGAGGCTTTAAGAATGCAGTCGACTTATTTTCCTAAAAGTAGCATCTTCAGCTATAGAAACACGCACGTTTGCAAACCTCATTTTAAACTGGGAGACGCCAGGCATCAGAAAATGGTGTGGATTCAGAAATACCTCATGCCCTTCTCCCGATGTGGAGCATTGAATGTAACCTTCAGCCTGATTTCCATTTCGGATGTTAGGTGGGGCTAGCAAGCTGGCTTGATGTCTCATGTATATATTAGCGGCTAAATTAGCACTCAATGACAGATCGTCAAAAGAAGGTTGAGTCGGCAGCCAGCGAGGATGCTTTTTGTGGACTCCTTTTTACACTTAAACGCGTTCGATTGTGGTCTGCATAAACAGAACATGTTCCAACTCTGATTGGCTAGGTTTTAACTGCCGGTAAACATCCTTCAACGTGTTATGTAACATTTAAGACGCAATAACGCCCCTGTATAAATCATTCTGAGCTTAGCTGGGGACAAAACCAAGAAGAGGTTACGCCGTGATGACCCAATGCGTACTGCCTCATCGTAAGTGGATCCTGATTTTAGCACTGCTGGGGATAACGATGATACTTTACGATGTCTACTTCATGAGAGGATGGACAAAGTACGTTTTCGAAATAATGAGAATCCGCGTTTCATCCACAATGTGCAAACTTCGGTGGAGTAGTTCCAATGAAATGACACGAGAGGGCGTCTACGACCTGAGCTTTCGCTATTGCCTAGATCCGCACCTCCAAGTAAACAGATACGACACACTTCCACTCTATCTCATCAGCAAGAAGGGCGGATATCGCAAAATCAACTTTACAGAAATGGCCCATATAAATGATGCTGACTGGAAAAGGCCAATTAATCCGGACGTCTTTCTTCTGTATCCGCAAGGTCTTGCATTGCGCGGAGTCATTCAAAAATACAAGAAGACCGGGATGGTTCCGGAGGTAAGTTCAGATTCACTGTCACATTGACCACCTCAACGTCCACTCGGCGTGGTTCCTTGGGGGGCTTTAGTGTTTTTCCGGCTATGATCTTTGCACTGAATCTATCCGGGCGGCCATTCTGGCGAAAGGGACTTTCGTCAACTGTAAGCTCTCTCCCTCACTCTCAATGCTATCAGCCGAGCTGATACTTCTCAACCTTAATGTCGATCAGCAGACTAAACTACGTTTCAAATTTAGAGGTAGGAATCTCCCAGAATTGGTCGTCCTCTTACGGTCGACGTTATGTCGAATTCTGTCGTCAGGCCTCCTACTCAGAAGCATATTCTGAAAGGGAAACGAACCGAGCTGTTCTTCTTACAGCGGGAATTTGATTCGTAGGGAGCCTGATTTATATTATCCTGTCAAAATGAGGCGTTGTTTTGCTCCGTTGCTATCCACCTAACAGCCATAGTGTCTTTGGCCGTTGATCTGGGGACGAAAATGGTAAGCCTTTGTTTTGCCCATGAATATATGCGTCAAAACCGGGCCAAGGGGCGAGCGCACGTCTTCTCAGAGGATTATGTCTTTATCTACTTTTATGCTTTTTGATGTTTGTTGTTCTTTTCTGCGAGTTTCGCTCTTCTTGTGTTGCATTAACAAAGAGGGGGTTTGTGGCGGATCAACGCTTTCGTCCCTTCTAAAGTTTGTCTTAACTGAAAAACAGATTCAAAAGCGGCAATTATGCTGTGTTGAAAACGGCTCCACGTTCCAGGACTGCAAGGTGTGTGCCGGTGAGGGATTTGGAAGAAGTATCGTGGACAAGGTCGCCGGTCGAGTTATCTGAGCGAGCTGGTCTCAGTTGAGTTACTTTATTGATACTTCTTTGCTCTTTTGTCACGAACCTTTCAAGCATGATTGAAAATGGTTTCCTCAATATCCTTCGATCCTTCACCAGTAGTTGCCACGAAATATGACTTCGATTGAGCAATTCCTGGGCCGTAGCGCTGAAGTATTCGATGGCAATCATGCATAAGTACTCTAGTCATTCTTCTGCCGTGTCGCGCCAAAGTCTCCCTTGCCAAGGTTGAATTCACAGTCAGCTTATGGTTGACCCACTTTGGAGGAAAGTCTTGGTCAAGACAGCGATAAATAAAGTGCAGTTGCGCTTGTGTTGACGCAGTCCGGGGGGCGAATTTCTCCCGACGGCGCGCTGCACGGAGCACTGAGACTCGAAAGTCGAGCTCAAGTTAGCAAAATTAACAGATCCGGATCGATAATCTAAGCAAAGTTAAGTGCTTACCAGATCAATCGTTCACTTTTGGTAGACAAATGTATTTACAAATCAAAGGAACCCCCTTGGAGTATCGCATATCAAGGCTGATTGCTGAAATGATCCTTCAACGGGAAGAGCGCTCGGTGTTCACCAAGTATCTACCAAAGTTCTGGGTTCGTGACGTCCATGACCCCTTCGCCATTGCCAAATCATCTGATGTGGAGCACTTTAAAGAATCGCGGATTTTGATTGACCCGAATATCCAATTCACGATGGAAGCTGAAACAAACAACCAACTTCCCTTTCCCTATGTCCTTCTGCGTCGGTGTGCAACTGGGCAATTACAAACTACCGTTTTCAGAAAAACCACCAACACAAGAAGAATACTACACTTCAACAGCAATCACCCTCTCTCTGACAAACGCAGCTGTGTCCGTACTCTATTCCAAAGAATTGAAACACACTGCAGAACACCATCCGAAAACAGAGTTGAACGATAATACCTCCATGACCTCTGTCGGGCCGATGGGTGCCCAAGCCATTTCATAAAGCAAATCAAAAGCCGAGTCAACAGGCGACAACCACAGGAAGAAGAATCCGAACTTTGGAGGGCTATTCTTTACACTAAAGGAGTCTCCAATGCGGTTTCACGTACGTTACAATCAGCCAGGGTTGGCATTGCCCATCGACCACAGACAACAATTCGTCGCCGTTTGTTGCAACCCAAAGACATACTGCCAACCACTGAAACCTCAGCAGTTGCCTATCAAATACGTTATAACGATGAAGACTGAAACTACGTTGGGGAAATCGGGCGGAAATTGCACACCCGCCTACATGAGCAAAAACTTCCAATTCGGAAACTAGACTCAAACCCACGGCTTGCGACTCACATCAGAGAAACTGATCATGGTTTTGACCTTCAAGTAGCACACATCCTAAGCCTGGGCACGTCAAGGACAGATTGTCTTACAAAAGAGGCTTGGTACTCAGATTCCAAATCCATCACCAGGCATATTGACCTCCCTGCGGCCTATAAAGTCCTACGTAACTACATACGCCATGAGAGGGACAGCAGTACAATGCCCCTGATCCGGTGAACCCTGTATTTTTCTCAGGCAGCCACAATGGTCAGCCTAGTGTGCCTAAGATTTTCGCTGAAAATTATGCTAGCAGACAAATGTTGAAAGAAGAACACGAGAAACGAAATAGTGTTTTCGGTTTCAACAGCTGTGATAGGCGCACTGAGGCCTCCGGTCTAGTGTCTACTTTGAATATTGTGTGGTGTTAGGTAATGGAGCTGATGTCGCAGAAGGACACCGGGGGCTAAATCGAAGTTCAGCCTAAAACAAGCTAGTATACTCACCTGGAATATTCTGCTAAATTCAAGCACGTGCGGTCGACATCGGCACACCGAATGTTCTAAACCCTGGTTGGTCAATTTTTACTGTCGGTAAACATCCCTCGACAGGTTATGCAGCACTCCGTGCGTGATGAAGGCCCGTATATATTATTGCCCTAGAAAGTGTGTGTTTTACTTCCGAGTTTAGCTGAAACAACTAGAACAGACTAAATCATGGCATCTCCCTTCACGCTGAATCACCGCGCATGGATTTCTCTCCTCGCGTTGCTGGGATTCCTTAAGATAATCCACGATGCCTACTTCACAAGAGAACGGTTGGTAAACGTTGTCGAAACTGTGAAAATGGGAGTTTGCTCGACTGTATGCGACGACATCTGGGTTGAAGTCGGTGAAATGACACGGGACGGCGCCTACGACCTGAGTCTTCGTTACTGTGTTGATCCGCATCTCCCAGTTACCAGACACGACTCATTTCCCCTCGGTACCATCAGCAAGAAGGGTGGAGATCGCAATATCAGCTATGCAGAGCTGGTGCAAATAGGCGATACTGACTGGAAAAGGCCAATTGATCCGGACGTCTTTCTTCTGTATCCGCAGGGTTTTGCACTGCCTGAACACATCAAGAATTACAGGGACACCGGCTTTGTTCCTTAGGTGGGTAAAATTGATTCATCAAATGCAGTCTTTGATACTGTTCGGAAGATAAGGTAAACGATGAAGGAGAATGTTCCAAAGACCTCTTGGTCTCGCTGTGCTTGCTAGCACACAGTACCTGACTGATTTTCTTTAACAAAGAAGATCGCGCGAGCAGCAGAACAATTGGTTTATCTTTATAAGCCAGATCGTTTCGTGTGTACGCGATCCGAGCATACGCTCAGTCTGATCTGTGTACTTACAAGGGCAGTTTTGGCATGGAATATTTTGGACAACCCTAGATTGCTCAGCGGTATTTAACCAGACATTTGATCCCATAAACTTGCTGTACATGGTGGCTTTGTGTCTGTGTGCGATTCCAACACATAGCCCCGCTTTTGAGGCCAACGTACAGAGCCCTGCGCAGCCACCTCCAGTCAAGCGCCATCGATCGACGTTCGACTAACACTCACCCCACAGTTGACGCTGGTTCTGTCGCCACCACTACCCTTGACGATGGACTTCTGCAGGGATTCAAAACCTCAGAACAATAAACAGACTGTCCGACTAGTCCTCCTTCTTTCCTATAAATATGGCAGGAACTTAAAGTTCTAGCAGGTATAAAAAGTAGACAAAAGTTCAACCGTCGTGAACGACGATGTCCCCTGTGTGTTTCACAGCAGGAACGGTAACTTGCGCAGCATCTACCTCAACCCCCTCTTTCCCCACCGCGACCCGGTGTCAAGACAGAGCCAAGAAGACATGGGGGGGAGCGGACGTAGGCGCGTGACGCAGCCGAACACCCCCAACTGGGCGCACCACTACACCCTCTGGTCCACAACGTACGCAGGAATAAATGGGGCTGGCTCGGCTTTTAACGCACCTTGGTATTCTTAAGCGCGTCAGATTGCTTGTAGTGAGGGATTATGCGCTGAGGGGGTCGATCTCACCCTCCCAGACACCAGTTCACTGTCCGAACCGGTGGCTGTCTGACCTGGGAATAGGAGCAGTGGACGAAAGAGCTAGAGAGTCCGTCTACGCGCGCCCCACGCACGACCCGGTCCCCATACGCACACACAAGGGGGACAGAAAGCCCAGACGTCCCACAAACACAGAGAAATGGGAAGCCGCCTGGAGAAATGAGTTAAATGGCACGCTCCTTACCTACGTGAGAGGTGCCGGTGATGTGTGGGATTTTGGAGAAATGTACGCGTGCTGAATGTATTGACGGGGAATGTGTGTGGAGCAGGGTGTGCGGAATGGAACGCCAAGGTGCGGGCTCGGCCCCGCCATCCACCTGTGCCCTCCCGCACCTCCGGTCTTCTTGACTCTGTCATAACACCGAGTCCAGGTGGCGAATTGGGAGGAGAGAGTGCGGTAAATGCCGTGTAAGTCTACGCGAATCGCCGTCCCCGTTCTCACCTTGCAGTAGATCTAATGTAAACTATATGGTATGCACGAAATTTTTTCAGGTTACGCATTTTTAAGGATTCTCAATCCCAATCACTTTATTTTCAATGCCCACTATTAGTATCTTTGTGCTGAACCACATGGATGATGCTTGGAAATTACTTTCTGTCAACCCTGCAAACATATTAGTAATGGTCAGTAGCAGTATTTAAAGGAATACCGAAAACATACCATGCACGCCAGTCAAGCCAAAAATACTAAACGAATGACAGTTTCCAAAAGGAATGCAGTGAGTGATCGACCACGTGGAATGTTGGCTTAAATTCTGAAAGGCGTTTTTGATCATGAAAGAATATTTAGGTGGTGATGTAATACTGATTAGCATGCAGCAGACTCCTATGGCATTTCGGCCTGCTCAGGAGGTCGGCATTTGAAAGTCACTTCTTTTCGACCTCCACTTAAGCAGTCATTTTTGCCGAGTGTCGTTTCTGCAGAGGGTCGGAAGGAAGTGCATTCAAAAACCGACATCCTGGCGAGTGCGAACTATTATAGGATTAATGCGCACGATAAACAATATGGCAACCCTACCTGTGTAATCCTGCCTAATCGAAAACGCATTTTAGAATTTCGGCTAGCATTTCATGAGATCGGTCACGCACCGTATGAACGTAATTCTCCCCTTTGAATAAACTCTCAGAAAGCGGCCATCTAATGATGCCAAATTAGCCAAAAATTACAATTCAATCGTCATAGCCCACCTTTTCGTGTCTATGGGCGATAGGAGTTCATTGCCTTTGCTGGGGTTCACACTATTGCACAGATGTGACATCTGCACTGGCGTTTCGAAAATAACGCATTTTTAAAAAATTCCATTCGCACTTTCTCTACCACAAGTAAGTTAAAACACTATCCTAGTGACTTCTAGTACTTTCAGCGTCTGTGAATGATAAATGTGGAATCCTCAAAAAGATGCGAATTCTGCAATCCACGAGAATGATTCCAGAGAATAGGGACTGATCGTGCACGGGAATCACTCCGCAACATGCGCTAACTGACAGACAACGCCGTGCATGTCGACAGTACTGCCTGTGATCGCAATGGCATCAGGGTCATGCATCACTTCATTCGGTGACAATATTCCAACAGTTTCTCCAGCAAGTATTGCTTTTGTAGGCAGAATAGCATTACCGACAAAGGCAAGAGAGGCTAGAACGGAAATTTCTTGCTTACTGGCGGGCATCAGCCAGCAATATCGAAGCACGATGTGTGGAACACCTGGGGTTCGATGCCGTAACCTGTTGGCTAGAAGTCCAACAACCAGTGATCCACGGGCTCGCTGTCCTGCCATCTGCGATCGGGTACATTAACAATGACAGAGGGGTGCTCACCCATCGCGTTATGGAATTCACTTGTCACGTTGTTCTTTGGGGATCTCTCTTGAGCCCGCCAGCAGCCGTACAGCTGTCGAATACCCACAGTGAATCGACAGCACACATATTTATTTCTGCTTTTATAATGCCTCCGAGCTCTAAACGCCTCCTTCTTGTATTATTGTAGCCTCCAATAGACAGCCCCACCATACGGTTACTCAGAGTGAGCACTTCGGTTTGTCCACCGGAAAGAATTAACGCTTCTGACCGCGAACACAACCACGATATCGTTGTCATTGTGAAATCAGCCGTGTACAACTTCGAGGACAGACAAAACTTTCGCAGACTCTACGCCCATCTGAGAAATGCGAGCAGCGATAAACGACCTTACCGTATAGGAATAGTGTTCATGGTGGGCCTGCCCACAATCGCAAGCAGCAATTTCTTCCAACGCGATGGTTTCAACATCTCACTGCCCGGTCGCGCCGGCAACTCGCTCGTCAACATTGGAAACCGCCGCGCCCAGATTCGAACTCGACTGGAGAAGGAGATGCGTGAACACGATGATCTCATCGTGGGCGACTTCGAGGACACCTATTACAATCTGTCCCTGAAGATGCGTCACACCTTCGTGTGGGCGGCCAGGTTCTGTCGCGAACGCCCTGCTTTCATGTTCCTCGACGACGACTTTGGTTTCAATGAGAAACGCCTCCAGGTCGTTCTTTCCAGTCTGCCGGCGGATTGGCGGCGCAGAGTTTCCATTTCGAATACTCGCTGGAATAGCCCCACAGTGCGTCCTAGCGATTCTGCTGCATATCGGAAGTGGGCACTGTCGAAGCGGGAGGTTCCGTGGCCAGTGCATGCGCCCTATAGCAACGGTTACTTTTACATGCTTGGTTACGATCACGTGGCGGATCTGGCGTTGGCCATGTCCTTCACCAAGAGCATTCCCATTGACGACGTCTGGTTGGGTCTGGTGATGCATAGGATTGGCCTCCATTTCAACTTACCAACTGGGATCACCAGCTCCATGAAGCATCAAGCCAATGTCAGCGGGTATATTGTTTTACCCCTTAATTCCCTCCTCACTGCATCGACGCAAGAGCAACTTTAGGACAGATCGATTGAGCAAAATTGATAGTAGTCATGACAACCGGGGAAAAACACCTTCCAGAAACCCTAAAAACGAAGTCTGCATGTCCTTGTGGTAACTTTGCCATTTTTTGGACTATTTTTGTACATCATCGCGTGCGATTTTCGGTCGTCGAAATGGTGTTTGTAACTGATTGCGTAAAACCCTGAACATTCCCTTAAGTCAGCTCCATTTTGCTAAAACGTTTATGTTTGTATTTTGCAAAAAAATGATCATTCGTCGATGAATTGGACGATGCATTTTTCGGTGCTGTGCGAAACGAAGGCGAATCCAATGAAACGATGCCTAACCTCTGCTGTCCGCCCGCAGTCCGGACACAATATATATGCATATATAAAGATGAATTTATTTGAGAAATTACAAAAACTCGTCTTCAGACTATGGGTGTACAAAAACAAAGAACTTCTAGACTTAGCCTAACATAGGATCCCATGACTTGACTAAAGTCTGTATCAAGGCGTGTCAGTTGCAATTTCCCACCTCCAGGGAATTTGCTGGACCAGTCTGAATCCGTCCTTAGCGATCTTGTGCGTGTTATTTAGATCAAACTGGGGAACCAGTCTCAAAAATCTTCACAATAAAATTTACAGTTTCCTACAGCATTCCGGCCTCTTAATTCGATTTCTTTGAATGCCTGTTTTTGAATTGATACATACATATGTTAGAGGGGTGTTTACAGATTGTTTTTACTGAACTCACTCTTCCCGTTGTGTCTTAGGGCTTTCTATCGAGCCCAACCAGCGGCCGCATTGCGGAGCATGATATGCGATCGTGTCCCAACTCAGGGTTTGGCGTGCCTGCCTAACGATGGCAAATGAGCCCGAAATAGTAATTTCCGTCTCCATGTTTTTGTTGGTTATGTTACTCTGCCTTTATATATATATGTAGTAGGTGTGCTAACTCATAAAATGTTAACCGAAATTCCGAAATTCTCTTCAATGCGAAAAGATATTTAACCGAAATTCCGAAAGTGTTTTCGACTCGAAAATATACTTAAGTGTAATCATAATATTAATTGCCGCATCGGCTTTTGAAAGAACTTCTTTTCGGCCGCCTGCAAAAATTGCACTTGGTAAAAACTTATAACTCCAAATATATTTTTAAGAAAATATGCACATAAATATTCATTGTATTTATTTTGTGGAAAATTACGTCTTCTTCAAATGTCATACTGTAATGAAGGTTTTAATTCGCTTTTAAAAAATTTCTCCAATTTCCGAATAATTTCGAACTTGTCATGCGGTTACATTTGCACTAAAGGTTTCAAAACTACAAGCTGTATATTTTTCGTTTACGGAAAATCACTCATTGATCTACGGTTCCAAGAGTAGACCGTATAAATTTGTCAGTGAACATGAGCCATATTGTAAACTGTACAAGCAATATTAATAAATGGAGAGACACAATGTTTTATGAACAGGCATTTAGCGGTCTTAGAAAACCTCATAGACAGAAACCGTTTTAAAGACCGAATTGTAGCCCTCCGTTAAGTATGAAATTTGTAGGTCTAATTTTCTACTAAAAGAGGGAAAGAATGAATATTATCATGCATGTTTCCTACGAAACGTATTTGAATTCATAGGGGCATTGAAAATCAATGAGAAATATCCACACCAATTAAGTAGTCTTTTTTACAGAAGTGTAGATTTGCTGGCAGCCAGATAGAAGTTCGTACAAAAGCCGGTAGCGCAAAGTAGCCGGAATACCTTGAGATTGTGCTATATAGTAATGAGTATAACAATCCTACTTAAGTCATCTTTTTGAGTCAAAAAGACATTTCACAATTTCGATCAACATTTCATGTGTTGGCTCATCTACTGTACGTGATCGATGTTCTAAAAATTGTTTCCTGCTGACCTTACAGCGTGCCCTTAAGTGTTGTTGCTGATAATTAAGCTGTGTCCTATCAGACCTATGCTCATATGTATTCTGCAGTCGCAGTGCAGAATACCTGAAGATCGGTGAACCCTGCTGAGGTCTAGCGGGTATTCCGGGGTATTGCGAAGGTCGTGGGACACCTGGATGTGCTCTGCCAACGAACACACATGCAGTTGTGTATGACCTTGAGAAGAACAATTTTTCCGACTGCGACTTCTATTTCCAGTCACGCTTCCCAGTCCCTAGGAAATATAATGTTACACTTAACTCTTGTAAGATGATGGCGGCCACTGAGACGATAATTTCTAGGCATTAGGACGTTGAGCATTGTACTCATTCGCATAGCTCCTTCCAAAAAATCTCCGATTTTCTTGTAGAACATGTACCTAAGTAATTTTATCAGCGAAAGTGGCTATAAATTTGACCAGAAATCGACCTTACCCATGTTGAGGCAGCTTTCGACGTTAATGGCCGTTTCCTGAGAGAGAGAGAGAGAGGGGAATTCGCTTTATTTTGAAATCATAAATTTAAAATTTTCAGCTAAAAAACTGTCATCATTCACCATGGGCAGTAAATAAGTTAATAGATTATTCAAGCGTCAAAAAGGTTAACACAAAAGGAATGATTATTATGAGGACAGTTCATATCCAAGCTTCTGAATTTCTATCTCTTGGCAGGTAAGTTAGCGCGGGAGGAATGGCAATACGGAAGCTCGAAAAGCCGATGTGCGACAAGACATAAGTCGGAAGCTGCGGCGCATCGTGTAGGAAGACTTCGCAAAAATAAGATCAGAATGCAAGGGATGGGCAACGTCATCTATAATCCGACCAGCAATTTGCTTCACCGTATGGAAATGCCGTTGTATATTAGTGTCGACTAAAATAAAGATAAGAAACACCATTGTCAGAAGAGAGCATGCGGAGGACTCGTTTCAAAATTAAAAGATCATTTTGAGCAATGCAGGTAAAATGACAGAAGAGCAATAGGGGATAAGAGGACGAATGCAGGCATCGATCAGTCGCCAGACTAAGGGTTGAAGTGTATGGTAGGAACGTAAACGACGAATGTAAAAAAGAAATTTACGAACTTTAGTAAATAAGGACTAAATGTGGAGGCAAAATGAAAGATTTGATGACAAAGTAACACCAACTTACCTGTAAGAAGATACCTAGTAAGGAGGGATATCGGAGGATTCAGGACTAGGAGAGGGCCGCAGTCGGAAAATACACCGAACGGTTTTTTGATTGTTCATAAGAGACATTTTTCCTCCGACTATGCTAGGACATGGTTAAGGTCATTCTATAGAGACTGGAGGTGTGTCTGGCTTTTGGGAGGGTGCCCAACAACCGCATCATCAGTATACTTTATTAAAAGACAGCCGTTAGGGGATTTTAGATCATTGGTGTGGAGAGAGAAAGGGTAAGGGGATAGAATGGAACCTTGTAGAATACCGCAGTAATTTGGAAGGACCATAGATTTCCGCTTGCCGGAACAGTGAAGTGATTTAACCTCGAGAGATTTATCAAACAGTGTTTGTCGCACTTGGGAATTTATTTTCGGAAGCCAAATCTGCAGATCTGTGTGATTTCGTGCCCAGAAGGGCCGTAATAAAGCCATCATGCAACCCTTTATTTAAACGCGCCAAAAAGACTATTACCGGTTAGTCATTTTAATTTTAAACATGTGGAAAGATTTATTTTGCGGTCTACTCACTGCTTGTGCGTTCACTTTTTGTGGGCTTGCAGTATTTTTGACGATGAATTTTCATATTCGGGTGAGTTTTCAAACGTGACTCAAGCAACCATCTACATAAAAAAGAACGCCCACGCAATCACTTCTTTCAAGAAATGTCTTATTTTGATGATTTTGATAAATACAGCGCATAAAATCCATGTTTACGGGCAGTCGACTTAAACCTCGAAAAATCGTGAAGTATCAACTGATATGTTAAAAGCTCTCTGAAACTAGTCGACTCTCCCGTCAGCAAAAACTGCAAATTTATCTGACGATAAAAGTTCTCTTAGAAAGTGGTATCCTTGCGATTGAATCGGCCAATTCTACTCAAATTTAATAACAACCGAACGCTCTTCGATAAGTTATCTTGTGGGGAATTTTATTAGTGTGACGTCTTTCGCAGAGACAGTAAGCAAAGTCCTGTTTAATTTAACCAACCACATTTAGAATGATACAAACAACGGGAAATTACACCCATTTCGCGCAATGAGATCTTATGACGCATTATACACCCACTTCTGTGTCAGACTTTACATAACACTAATTCTTGGAGGATATTTAATGGAAATATGCGTAAAAACTAATCTTACCTAATCAACTGTGCTTACACGGCTTGATTTTGTCTGTTATTTCCATAGAAATGCATTATGCACTTACCACATTTGAGTTGGCTCATTAGACACAAATTTTCACGTTTTCGCTATTGGCAATTGTCTTAAGAAAATCATTCTTCATGAACGGCAGAATAGTACTTGAAATATTTATTTTGCCTTTGCATTTTAGTTGGAGTCGCTAAATACGGGTTTGTGGTTGTATTGGATATGTTCGGGCTGGTTGTTAGACTAATTACTGATTTTTCACTAATTTAGACATATTTCATGCGTTAGGTCACCTATGTACTCAAACTCTTTGATGTGCTGCTTCTTTCTGAGTCATTCAATGGGCAACGTATTTTACACTTGTAGCCTCAGCATATCAATTAATTCAGGCGGAACTGCAAATCCTTGATCCATCCTAAGTACATGGCATAAATAAAAATTTATTTTTCTCCGAACCAGCAGTCCGCGTTGCCTCTACTGTCTATGAGCCTTTGGAGCTACATCGTACCTGGCCGTTTCCCACTACTCCTCATGAAATGTACAACATCATCCGCATCCATTGCAAAATTGTGTGAACTCTGTATGATATCTCTTTAATGGCATAAAAAAATATGTAATTTTCTTTATGCGGAACGCTGCACCTTTTAGAGTGAAATCACTAAGCGCTACGGCAACGAATGATCAGACTCCAAATTATTCGGCAATTAGAAAACTTTTTAAAACCTATTTATACTCCTTCCTTAAGTATAA